AGCACCAAGATGAGAAAGTATTTGAAGACTCATGGAAACCACTGCAGGGTCCTGCATTGTGCGTCTATAACAACAAGCCTTTCACTGAAGCTGATATTGTGGGCATACAGAACCTAGGACAAGGTAGTAAAGGGGACGATCCAAACAAGACTGGCCAGTATGGTGTAGGGTTCAATGCAGTGTACCATTTGACTGATGTCCCGTCGTTTGTCTCTAGTGGAGAGGAGATTGGAGATGTTTTGTGTGTGTTGGATCCACACTACAAGTATGTGCCTGGTGCAACTGCCATGGAACCTGGGATGATGTTCAGAGAAACAGCGAGGTTAAAGCACATGTTTCCAGATGTGTTTTCTTGCTATATTGAAGATGATCATGAGTTCCCAATGCAAAATTCAACAATGTTCCGTTTTCCACTGAGAACCAAAGAGATGGCACATAACTCCATGATTTCGAATTCTCCAGTTACGCTGCCAGCGTTAGGTGACATGATGAAGGCACTTAAAGAAGAACTATTTGAAGTTCTGCTTTTTGTCAATAACGTCAGAAAGATCACTTTGTGTGACATCGATGAAGAAAGTGGAAAGGTGGTGAACTCTTATTCCGTCGAAGCAGAAATGTCAGAAGAGGATGCAGCCAAGAGGCAACAGTTCATCACTTACGTCAAACAAGCTGCAAAGACAGGTGATAAAGCAGACCAATTTTTCCTAGGGAACATCGAGGTGAAAAAGTGTTCCTATGTTCTGAGGTTACGAGACAGTCTAGGCAACGAAGAAAAATGGCTCATTGTCAGGCAAATTGGATTTGATAACGAAGTGCCGTCAAGTGTTGTAGAAGCGTACAAAAAGGGCGATCTGGGAATGCTTCCTCAAGGTGGTGTCGCTTGCCTTTTGGAAAAGAACTCCAAGAAAGGGGTAGTAGGGACTACCCGGAAAAAAGCTTACTGCTTTCTTCCGCTTCCTGTAGAAACCTACCTCCCAGTTCATGTCAATGGCCACTTTGCACTGGACCACGAGGCCAGAAGAAATCTGTGGAGAGATGAAGTAAATGGCTATCGAAGTGACTGGAACAACGCTTTGCTGACAGATGTGATAGCCTCGTGTTATTTAACACTTCTGGATGATGTGAGAAGTTACCTCCAATTGCCAGTTACACACAACTTTGAGCAAGTCAACTTTGACTACAGTGACTGCAGTAAGGAAGATTTGGTAAGAAATATTGAAGAGTACGAGAAGCTATTCCCGTTAATTTTCTCTGGCAGTCCGTACTGGGCAACCTTGGTAACGTCCGTATATCAAAGAATGGACAACAAGAGATTGAGACTGCTTCCCGTGTTGCGAAGTTTACCATCCAGTGGAACCGCTCCTGCCGTTCAGCTAACGTGGCTTCCTCCAACAGGTAAGGGGAAAACCAAAGCATTCTTCAACAATCTTGAAAGGAGTGATTGTTTTGCCAGACCACAAAGAGGTGCACGTTTCCGTTCTGAAATCGACATTCAAAAAGAGGTGACAAGAAGAATTGAGCAGAGAACGCGTTTTGAAGAAATGCTGCTGCAAACAGGCTTTAACCTAGTGACGTTCTCCTTTTCTGTTTATGAAGCATTGGAAAATTCCGGTGTGGATTCATGCTGCGTTTCGCCTTCTTCTGTAATGGAGTTCTTCAAGACCTTTAACAGTGAAGAACCCCTTTGCTCGATTACTTCGATCCCTAATCATGTTGGAGAGACGCCATTTAAGAACGTTGACGGTGTAACTCTCGTGCTTAAATACTGCAAGGATGGCGAAAACTTCCTGGCGAGCCTGTGCGGCCTTCCTCTGCTTCTAACACAAGACAATCGTTTACAGGAATTCAGCAGTTGTCATCCTAAGTTCCTCTCTCGTCATTATGGCATCCTGCCACATTGCGCCGAGATGTTTGTCAATAATCATTTACGAGTACGAATCTTTGGCGATGCATCAAGTCGGAAGTCATCTGTGTTCAAGCATTTTGGTGTGCAGGAATTTGCAAGTAACTTGAATCGGACACTACCGACACACGAGTATTTCTATAAAGACGGCTACGTTAAATGGTGTCCGAAACAGAAATCAGCGCCAAATGAACAATGGGTGTGCAGTGTTTGGGCTTTCCTACATGAAGCAGTGGAAGATGTCTTAAAGGAAACAAAGCTATGTGACGAGGAGATAACCAGAAGAATTCGTGCAATACTCGAGCCGCTTTCAAACTGGAGTATCCTTCCTTGCACCGAAACGATCCGAAAACTACCACCAGATTGTGAAAGTGCCTCTTCTGTGTCGGCAGAACACTTTCTGGTGCCCTTAAGATTGGTAGAGTCTGTCCTTGATTTCAGAGATGCTACTAATCCGTCACTTGTCGAATCTTTGAGAATGCTTAGTCTTCCTGAGGTGAACTATGTTATATCATTGGACTTACGCGAACTTGCACGCTATCTTGTAGCATCACTTAAGACACCAACATCCATTCTGAGATCCTTAGAGCAGAAGATGGTCATAAACCCACAAGCGCTGAAAGGACAACTGAAGCCCAGTGAATGCCGTACCATTTTGCAGTATTTCAGCGACAACGTTGAAAGTCTACAAGAACGTGACAAGAATACACTACGAAAGCTTCCTTTCTATCAAGCAGCACATGGAGGGTTCGTCAGTCTAGATAGTGAAATGGTCTGCGTCCTACCTAATGATATTCCGCGCGAAGAAATGGACGAGTTAGGACGTCGACTGAATGTGGTGTTCCTGGAAACAAGGCCAGCTCTGTCTCCCCTATTCAAATTTCTTAAATTTCAAAGCCTCTCATCAGTTGAAGTATACTGTAATTTCATTTTACCATACTTCAGCATTTGTAGCAAAGGAGCGAGGCTGGCGCACTTGGAGCACATTCGGGATTCTATTTTGCCTGTGAAAACAGTCGATAGTCAGAGACTGCTGGATTGCTTGAGAAACACTGCCATCATTACCTCAAAAGATGAGACTTCCAAGAAAGCTTCGTCTTATTATGACCCCGACAAAGATGTCTTCAGCATAATGGTTTCCGGGGAGATGTTTCCACCAGAACCTTTCAACACACCAGAATGGTTGCGATTTTTGAGAAAAGTGGGGCTTATTTGTGAAGTCTCCCTCAGTAATTTCAAGACGTTTGCTGCCGAAGTTGCACGGGAGGGCACAACTCAGCGGACTGAAGATACCGACAAAAAGTCCAAAGTCCTTGTGAAGCACCTTTTCCTTAGAGAAAATGTTATAGGGGAAGGGCTTCTTCAAGCTGTCTCTGATATCCGCTTCGTGGCCTCAAATTCTGTGAAGGAAGAACTTACAGCACTCCATCCACAGTTCGGTGAGGGAAGTGATGACAACACTTCATATATTGCATTCAAGGGTTCTGTGGTAGCTGAAAACACTAAGATAGTTTGGACGACAGCTGCTCTCCTTCCAGATTGGGCACATCCAGGGAATTACCAGTACCTGATGAACGTTCCAGATTCGTTGAGTGAAAGTGCATACTGCAGTACTATCCTTGCCCAACTTCGGGTTCTGACAACACCAACTGTGGAACTTGTTGCTTTTCACTGCCAAAATCTATCCTGGTCGTTGGAAAAGGAAAACGACAGTGATCTGACGTCTTATCAGATATGTACACGGATGTCAGTAATGAGAAATATCTACAGGTTTCTTCAAGCCAAAGCCATGTCAAGTGACATTGCAAAAGGACTTCTTGCGCATACACCTTTTGTTTTGGTCGAGCAATGTGGGCGCGTGGTTTATGCTAAACAAGTCGTAATTGAATTTTACTCCGACCGTGAGATCAAGCCGTTTCTTTACAGAATGCCTTCCGAGCTTAGTGAGTTCACAGAACTGTTTAAATACCTGGGCTGTTCCTCTTCTGTCACACCTTCTCACTATGCCATGGTCCTAGACATGTTACACGGACAATGTAAGGGAAAAGAACTGGATCCAAATGAAGTTTCCAGTGCTTTAAAAGCGGTTAAGGGCCTCCTTGAAACGATGCAAGACAATCCCAACGCAGAGCAGGATATATCTACCTTGTACCTGCCAGCTGTCTATCCATTCAATGGCGACTTCGCTTTGAATGACACTGTACTGCCTGTTGTTTTGATGAAGGCTTCTGAGCTCATCTTCGATGACGCCCCGCATTACCTTGATCGTGTTCATAACTTCAACCTGCCCTTTTTGGTGGACCTTAAGATGGCCAATGTTGGCTGCAAATCCAATGTAAATTACAAGGACTTGGTCATGCTTCTTCCCACAGTTGTACGGCCTCAGATGATGTCATGCGTAATCGAAGAAAAGTTCGTGGAATCAGAAGATGATAGCGCGCGATACGATTTTGGCGCTGCTAGTTCCCTGAGAAACCAACTGCACTCTGAGCAATTCTACCGTGGAATTATCAGGCTCATTCGTCACGCCAATCAAGATGGTGGTCTCGATGAAAGTGTGGTCGCAACTGTAAGGAGTAGTCTGCAAAGCATTGAATTCCTTGGGATGAGTAAAATTGTCACTCATCTGGTTCACAGTGGAGAAGTGATTCAAGGAAGTGAGCTCGAAGTATCATACTTCGTAGAGAAGGGTTCAGAATCAGGTCGAAATATTTGCAAAGTGTACGTCAACGCCGTCCAAGACGCAGAAGAAACTATCTCGACCATTGCTGTAACATCACAACTGATTGCAGAAGCGTGTAGAGGACTGCTGCGGGATATGATTCTGCTCATACCCGAGATGCTGCGTATCGACACGGGCAAAATATTTTCCTTGCTGGATAAAATGAAGATTCGGCAGGACAATTCCTATGATGCAGACAAAAGAGATGTCTTCCCACCACCAGGCAGTTTCATTCCTATTGCAATGCATAACCTTCTAAATCCAGCCTTCGAAGAGTTTACTCCCGGCGAATACGTCGGATACGAGTTACATGATCCAAGTCTTGAACTGCAAGAAGGAGATGGCACCTACATCTACGCTGTGATAATCGAAGAAGTGCCAGGGGACGATGTAAGCCCGTTTACGAAGCTTTACAAGATCAACATTGGAGAGGACAAGGAGCCACAAATTGTCGAGGCTACTAAGTTGTACAAATTTCACCGTGTTCAAGAGGTGACATCACCTGAGGTAGCCTTGTCTGACCAGCAAGGAAGCTCATCCTCCGCTTCGGATAGACAGAAGATTTTTGACGAAATTTCAAGAGCGCTTGAAGAAGCTTGGAGGCTGCCGGAAGAGAGAAGAAAACAAAGCGTCAAGCGACTGTTTCTACAGTGGCATCCCGACAAGAACCCAGGAAACGAGGTGTTCTGTACAGAAGTATTTCAGCACATAAAGAGTGAAATCGAACGATTGGAAAGAGGAGAATCACGCAGAGGTGAAAGCTGGAGCTCTACCTATGGTGCTTTCTATGGTTTCTGGGGAAGGCGTGCAAGGCAGTATAGCTCACAGCGCCAGGAGTACCGTGACAGCTTCTTTCGACACTATGGGTCATCTGGCTATAGAACACGTTCCTGGTACGTGCCTCCAAGCTTCTGCACAACGAATCCCCAACCACGAGAGGCACGACGCTGGTTCCGACAAGCTNAGTTGTCATCCTAAGTTCCTCTCTCGTCATTATGGCATCCTGCCACATTGCGCCGAGATGTTTGTCAATGATCATTTACGAGTACAAATCTTTGGCGATGTATCAAGTCGGCTGTCACCTGTGTTCAAGCATTTTGGAGTGCAAGAATTTGCGAGTAACTTGAATGGAACACTGCCACCACAGGAGTATTTCTGTAACGACGGCTACATTTCCTGGTGTCCGACACAGCAGTCTGAGCCAAATAGTCGTTGGGTGTACAGTGTTTGGGCTTTCCTGAATGAAGCGACAGGGGATGTTCTAAAGGAGGCAAAGCTATGTGACAAAGAGAGGATGAGGAGAATTCAGGCAATACTCGAACCACTTTCAAACTGGAGTATCCTTCCTTGCACGGAGACGATCCGAAAACCACGGTCACACGATAGCAGTACCTCTGCTGTGATAGCCGAACACTTTCTGGTGCCTCTAAGGCTAGCAGAGTCTGTCCTTGATTTTACAAGTCGCGATGCCTCTAATGCGGTAGTTGTCGAAGCTTTGAGAAAGCTCGGTCTGCCTGAGGTGAACTATGTTGTGTTATCAAGTGATCTATGCGCACTTCCACGTACTCTCGTAGCATCACTTAAGACGCCAACATCTATTCTGAGATGTTTAGAGCAGAAGATGTCCATAAATCCACAAGCACTTGAAGGAAAATTGAATCCTAGGGAATGCTGCACCATTTTGCAGTATTTCAGCAACAACGTTGAAAGTCTACATGAACGTGACAAGAATACGCTAAGAAGGCTTCCATTCTATCAAGCAACACATGGGGGTCTTATCAGTCTAGACAAAGAAAGCGTCTGCGTCCTTCCTAGCGATATTCCACGTAAAGAAATGGACGAGTTTGGACGTCGACTGAATGTGATATTTCTGGAAACACGGTCAAGTCTGTCTTCGCTGTTCCAGTTTCTGGCTTTTCAATGCGTTTCGTCAATTGACGTATACTGTCATTTCATTTTACCACACTTCGGCATTCTTAGTAAAGACGCAAGGCTAGCTCAGCTGCAGCACATCCGGGCCTCTATTTTGCCAAAAGGAACAATCGACACGCAGAAGCTACTGGATTGTTTGAGAAATACAGCAGTAATTACCTCTAAGGATGGGACTCTGAAGAAAGCTTCGTCTTGCTACGATCCCCACAATGGAGTCTTTAGTATAATGCTCCCTGAGGACAAGTTTCCACCAGAGCCTTACAACACACAAGAATGGTTGCAGTTTTTGAGAAGCATTGGGCTAATCTGCAAAGTTTCCGCTGACCATTTCAAGACGTTTGCTACCGAAGTTGCACGCGAGGGTGCAATACATCGGACTGCGACAACCGACAAAAAGTCCGAAGTATTAGTCATGCACCTTTTTAGCCGAGAAGGGGTTGTGGATGAAGGCCTTTTACATGCTATTTGCAATGTCCGCTTCGTAGTTGCAGAGACTGTGGGGAAAGAACTTCGAGATATCTATCGTCAGTTCGGTGAAGGAAGAGATGGTAATACTCCATACATTGCATTCAAAGGCTCTTTGTTAGCTGAACACTCCAAGATAGCTTGGACGACAGCAGCTCTCCTTCCTTACTGGGCTAATCCTAGGAAATGTCTGTACCAGAAGAGGGCTCCTGGTTGGCGAAGTACGGGTGATTACTGCAACGCCATTCTTGCCAATCTCCAGGTTCTTATTGAGCCAACCGTGGACCTAGTAACGTTTCACTGCCAAAATGTTTCTTTTCAATTGGAGAAAGAAAACGACGTGGCACATAGTCATGATCAGCTTGTAACAAGAACGTCAGTGATGTCGAATATCTATCAGTTTCTTCAAGAGAGGGCCATCTCAAACACTGTTGCAAGAGATCACCTTCAGCATGCACCTTGCGTTTTGGTGGAAGAAGGTGCGCGTTTTGTTTATCCCAAACAAGTCGTCCTTGAATTGTACAAGAAAAGTGAGATCCAGCCGTTTCTTTACGGAATGCCTGCAGAAATTAGTAAGTTCAAGTCGCTCTTTGAATACCTGGGATGCTCCCCATCGGTCACACCTTCGCACTATGCTATGGTTCTTGACATGTTACATGGGCGATGTGACGCAAACGTACTACATCCAATTGAAGTCGAGACTGCCTTAAGAGCCATGAAAGGTCTTCTTGAGACGATGCAGGACAGTCCCGACGTGGAGCATGATATATCTACTTTGTACCTTCCAGCTACACATCCCTTTAGTAGTAGTTTGGATGACACTGTACCACCTGTCATGTTGATGAGGGCAACTGAGGTTATCTTTGATGACGCTCCTCACTACCATGGTCGTATTCAAGACGTCAACCTGCCTTTTGTTGTGGACCTGAAGAGAGCCAATGTTATCTGCAAAGCTAATGCAAATTACCAGGACCTAATCATGCTACTTCCCACAGGTGTACGGCCACAGATGATGTCTTGCGTAATCAAAGAGAAATTCGCAGAATCCGAAGACACTAGCGAGCGTTTTGATGTTGGTGCTGCTAGTTCATTGCGGGAACAGCTGCACTCAGAACAATTCTACCGCGGAATTGTCAGGCTTATCCGTCACGCCAATCAAGATTGTGGTCTTGATGAAACTGTGGTCGCAACCGTGAAGAGCAGTTTACAAGGTATCGAATTCCTTGGTATGAGTAAAATTGTCACTCATTTGGTTCATAGTGGGGAAGTGATTCGAGGGAGTGAACTTGAAGTGCCATACTTTTTGGAGAAGGTTTTGGAATCCGGTCAAGAAATTTGGAGGGTATATGTCAATGCCGTCGAAGACGCAGAAGAAACCATCTCTACTATAGCTCTAACTTTAACAGAAGTGATTGATGACGCGTGCAAAAGACTGCTGCGAAACACAACTCATTACATTTCCGCAATGCTGCTCAGCCAACCTGACAAGATATGTTCGTTACTGGATAAGATGAAGATTCGTCAAGACGACTCGTACGATACAGACAAAGGAGACGTCTTCCCGCCTCCAGGAAGTTACATTCCTATAAAAATGCATAACCTTCTAAACCCGGCTTTCGAAGCGTTTACGCCCGGAGAATACGTCGGATTCGAGCTAGATGATCCGAGTCTTGAAATGCAGGAAGGAGATGCCACATTCATCTATGCTGTGATAATTGAGGAAGTACCAAGTGACAGTGAAAGCCTTTTTTCGAAGTCTTACAAGATCAACATTGGGCATGATAAGGAACGGAAGATTGTCAATGCAACCGACTTGTACAAATTTCACCGCGTTCTAGAAATAACGTCATCTGAGATAGTCCTGTCAAACCAAGGAAGTTCACATCCCCCGACGGATAAGCAGCAGATTCTTGATGAAATTACAAAAACGCTTGAAGAAGCTTGGAGGCTACCAGAAGATCGAAGAAGACAAATTGTCAAGCGACTATTTCTTCGGTGGCATCCCGACAAGAACCCTGGAAACGAGGTGTTCTGTACGGAAGTATTTCAGCACATAAAGAGTGAAATCGAACGATTGGAAAGAGGTGAATCGCGCAGAAGTGAAAGCTGGAGCTCGGATAGCCGGTCCCACAGGAGATCCTATGGTGCTTTCTATGGTTTCTGGGGAACGCGTGCAAGGCAGTATAGCTCACAGCGCAAAGAGTACCGAGACAGCTTCTTCCACCACTATGGATCAAGTGGTTACAGAACACGTTCATGGTACGTGCCTCCAAGCTTCTGTACCACGAATCCCCAACCACGAGAGGCACGACGCTGGTTTCGACAAGCCGAAGCAGATCTGGCAGCTGTTGATAACGATATTGCTACTGTGAGACCATCCTACGAGTGGGCATGCTTTAAATGTCACCAGGTAAGAATATCACATGCAATATTATACTTTTTATAATTAATTCAAGACGAGGAATGAAATCAGTTTTCGGTGATGAAATCATTACTTCGTTTTTGGGTGTAAAGGGAAAATAAAGAAGATTCCTGTCTAAATTACTCAAAGTAACAGCAATTGCCCTTCAAAAAGGGGATCTCGCGCATTGCATAATTTACATCTCTCTTACCAAAAACAAAAACTGTAAACGTTCTTTTACCCCCAAACGTACCAGCATGCAAACGTTCATCTCAGCTAGACCTGAGTCTAGGCTCAGTTATTTTAAAGATTTTGTTTGAAACGAATGACTGTTACATTTAACAATCATTAGAATAATCTTACCTTTTCGCAGGGGGCTTGTCACAGTCGAACCTAATTATTTTTCCCAGCACCCACTCGAGTCAGTCTTACAGCTCAGGGATACAGTGTTCGACCGATCAGTCGAAGATTTTACTTTCTTCGCTAGCATGTGTTACGAACTAAATAATACGATGGTAACAAGTCTGATATTATTTACAGTTGGCTCTTTCCAATTCGTCTCGCCAAGGACCGAGGACGAACTATTTTCAATGGAATTCTTAATTAACTAGAACGGCTGTTCCTTTTGCAGGCTGCGGAGAAAGCACTGAAGGCTGCCCAATATTCTGTAGATGCTCACAAGACCAATATTCACAACTTAGTCCAAAACTCACTGATCCTGCATGATTCTCAGTTGACGAGGTTATCAAGCCAACTTGAGAATCACTTGGGCGATTCAACGTGCATGCGCTACCCAGACCAAGTGTGGTCTCCTAAGATTCCAAACGACGTTTATTCTCAGGAAATGGCCCGCGACGCCCTGGAACTAGCCAGGAGGATCCTAGACCAAATCAGAAGCAGAGTTTTATAAGGTGCGTACTTTGAGAATGCAGTTTCTTGCTAGAGAAAGAAATATACAGGAAAAGAGGTCACGAGGAAAAAGATATGTTTCAACTCAATCTGTTTGCTTCTCTCTGCTCCCTCTCTGTGGCACACCTTTTAAATTACTTGCCCAAGTAATGCCAATTGAAACTGACAAAAAATCATGTTACCCGCTAAGGTCAGCTAAGGATGCAAGAAAAAGCGTTGCAAATTCGAGAGGACATGTGAAAATTAGAAGCTCCCAGAACACACTTTATCCCCCAAACACATAGTTATTGTAACGTACTGTTACAATTACCTATGGTGTATGCACCTGTGTAAGTTTTTTTCTCTAAAATTGTCATCCACTTTCAATCAACCGTTTTCCCGCCTCATGTAGACTTCACAACCACTTTAGTTTTCGATCCTTGTTTTCTCCCCCCCCCCCACCCCCCTGTGACGAAGATAATGGTAATTACAAATTAACGCTGAAACTTCGCGCGTCGAAATTAAGGAGTAATTTGTGACCGACGATATTAAGTGTTAGTAAAGAAACGATATCTTTATTGTTATTGATGCAAGTGAATGCCATCAATATTAAGGACCTTTAGATTGGACTACGGGTACAAGATTGAGTACGAGCACGATTTTCGTATATCAAAACATGTTGGTTCTAGGAATAGAGGGTAGCTCATGGAGAGAGATCGTGTACTCCATCTTGTACTCCATCTTGTACTCGTACTCAAATCTAAAGCTCCCTTTTATTAAATCAAGGGCCATTTGCTCAAAGGCCGGATAACGCTATTTAGTGGATAAACCACTATCCAGTGGATAAACGTTAGCCAAGCGTACTACGCTATCCGCTGATAGCGAAATATCATGCGGACGGCGTTAACCACCCTTGGAACAACCGGGAGCAGCTCTATCAAATTTTTAGTTTTAATTCCTATAATTTTCTTTTTCTTTTTTAGAATGCCATATCAGAGATGTACTCCAAGTCAATATTTTAGTGTGATTCTCAAAACAATAACTTACATGTGCCTGTAGCATCGTAGATACTTAAGCTCATTACAGATTTTCTTGGAATTCAGAAATTGGCGTACTTTGTAGTATTTTAGCCCTGCTTATAGAGCGTTTTCACGTGACGTCATCAAATTGTTAAATTCAAAACTAAAGAGCCACTAAAGTTATATCTGTTTACAACTTTTCAGCTCAATAGCGCCCTTCGTTTGGAAACCAGCGCATTTTGAATTTCGAAGTTATGGCGGTGCGTGACATAAAGTTACGATCGCGTTTCTCTAAAAATATGTATTTATCTCGTGATTTTTAGCCATTTAAGACGTTGTCGTGTTTGGAAAAGTGCTTAGTTAAATTTTTATTTGTTCAGTGCAGATGATCATTGTCCCAGATAACCAACGTAAGTTCCAGATGTTAACACGGATTTTCAGGCCGCCATGTTGGTGTACCACAGAGGAACACCAACATGGCGGCCCCATACTAGGCTCTGTACATTTGCGCGGAACATTTCGACGAATATCTCAACTTTAAGACAACGCACACACCTTAAACGTGGAGAACTGTCTTCTTTATTTATCGTCTGTAATATCACAATTTCTTGACCTTATCCACTGAATGGTTTTTGATTTTATTTTCTATTGCGTGACAATGAAAGCGCTCTATAATGGCCGAGCTTAATATTAAACTGTAGCTGTGAGTTAGATATGTAAAGTAAAGTTTGCATGCGTGAAGTCCGACTAGTACGTAAGAATAAGAGATTACCAGCAATTAAGAAGATTTTTTTTGTAGGGCTTAGCAAATCATGTATTATGCATTTATTGCTAATTTTTCTATATCTATTAAGTTGTTTTAAAATAGAATATTATTATTAGCGAGAATAGAATAATATTATTAGCTGTAATTACTTAGTTCTCATTTATACACGTTCGTGTTTTGAACGAGTTCTTAGTTCCTCGACGAAACGTGTTAAAATAAATGATTGATTAATTGACTGATTGATTGATTGATTGATGTGAACAGTTTAGGTTTTCTAAATTACGATAGCTGTCACCTTGAGTTGTATCAATGAATTTTACAGTGTACTTTAAACGCCATTCGTCCCTAGCCATATACATATTATTGAGTTAAAAAGTTACGTAATAAGGTGCGGTACCAAGTAAGTAACGTAGTTAAAGGCTTTTTCTATACGCAATGGTTTCCTATTTAAGGCACGTTTTATTACATCATATTTACAACGCAAGCTCTGTTGTGTTCGAATAGCCTTTTTTGTCTGTTGCCCACAGTATTCGTGGTAGCATTAAGCGAGCAGAGAAAAAATTAAGATTAAACAACATGTTTTGCTTAAACTGCCGTGTGAAGTAGTGTAGTTGACAATCATTGTAAAACTAGCAGTAAGGCTACTAAAGATAATGCTGTTACTCGACATGAGGCCATCAACTCCTTTGGGTCAAACCTCACACGACGTTTTTCAAGCAAATCTAGTTGGTGAGATGTTGTATTTTTGATTTGCTGTGACTTTCGATTTTTATTACAGTCAAACCCGATCCAGATCGCATGTCGGGTATAACAGGGTGAAGTTTAGTTCCAATGATGAGTTTACTTTCGATTTGAATATAAATTATACACCGCTCTAAAAATTAAGACCTGATATATCTTAGATTTTAGACAGCTGGCAGAGAGCCATCGCGCGAGGTTACTTCACTTTAATCGAAATCTCGCCGCTAAACTTGTTTTTCTTTAATAGGTTCAACTCTACCTAGTTAAAAGAAACTACATATGAGCATAACATTGGGTAACTTTGACACGACCTTTTCCGATTTTTTTTTTAATAACAATTGTTAATTTTCTTCCAGTGACTGTCACATTTTGAGTAGTTGTTGGTTTTGGTCATGATAACCGAGGTACTTTCGGTATTTTATTCCGACACTACAAAGTTTTAGACGGGGATAGTGAGCCCCGAGATCCAACCCCGTACCTTTTGCATATCATTTTGACAGAAAAAGGTACCTCTTTCGAATGCCTTCATTGAAAAATGGTAACCCATTCACAGCCGTAAGCTGCGTCTGTTCGAAATGTCCCAGTTAAAGGCCCTTTTAAATACCTAAAGGCCAGTTTCCCTACCCTTTCATTTTCCTGAACTTGTGAAATCTCGTCCCTATAGACTATCGCCCCGTGTATTTCATTCAGGTTAAAGGGAGTACCGGGCTGGTTGAGTTACAAAGCGGAAGCCAAATAACATAAAACCAAGTACTTTCTCTCATATCGTACTGACCTGTACTCCTAACTCAGAAAAAAAAAAAACATTTGACGACTAAAATGCTAAGGTAAAGTGCGTTCGATTTATAATATCTCTTGCAAAATCAATTGATAAAAGCAAGAAGTCGAAACACCGCTGGGGGCTTGCAACGAGGCGAAAAGTCCTGAGAGTTCCAGCTCTGCTGAAGGCAGACCAGAAGTAAAATGTCTGCATGACGACTAATTTCACTTTTTCCCCATCGTGTTGAGCCAGGCCGCCCATCAGCGTGATTCAATCATGGTTGGCCTAACACAGGAGTAACACGATCGTTTTCCGAGAAACAGAAGAGGATCAAGTGGCATAGAGTGAGGCCCTGTTAGGGCTTTGGGATTCAGTGGATTATTAGGGATTTTTGGAGAAGGGAGACGGATTATTGGCCACCAAATTTAAAGATTACGGATTATTTGTGCCGCATGTTAAGATTACGATTATTATCGGTCACGACTGCATAAATTGCTTTTTTACATAAAAGAGAGATTAAAGTCATACAAAGAATGACAAATATTTATCTCCAGTGATCCCTCCAATAGTTTCTTTGCCTTTATAGCTCTTTAGAGTTTGGATCTCACGTGTGTGTCTTTGAGCGACTTTCCTCTTAATGAGAGCCTCTTTACAGATCTCCTTCAACAAAGGCTTATAGGACGTTCTTTACTCCGCTGGGTAGTATTGCGAGGGACATAGCGACAATATACGCAGCGCGTACCCCCTTACCTCCGGAAATCCAGAAAATATATATCTGTCCGAATTCGCAAAAACATGCCCGCATTGACTCAAAGACAGTCCCACCAGCCAGAAGTCCTCTGACCACCCCCCTGGCTAGGAGATTGGCCCCTCACGCATGCACGTGGCGTGGACCACTCCAGCAGGGTGCCATGTCAACACGGAAGCCTCAAACAAGGTTAAACAACTGAGTAAAATTCCCAGAAACACAGTTAATATCAAGGCTATTTAACACTGAAAACTCAAAGTGTGGCTAGCTGGGGGTGTCAGTACAAGACACCCTCCCCTTCCCCCTGCGTTTGACAGCTGGCCGCTAGCAAACCACCAGCAGATAGCCCAGTGCCTGGGCCATGTGCCCGGCCTGGCCTTGACGGAGCCCCCCTAGGTTTAAGGACGTCAGCTTAGCCTGGATTCGGGCCCTGCCCGAATCCAGGCGAAAACCTAGCGGGCATGTTTTTGCGAAATCGCTCAGATATATTCATCGGCAAAAAGGGCCTAGTATGTAAATCACGGGGTTTGACAGTCTCTAGTTTCTCCTGTTAAATCTACT